CTGAATGTTCTTTAACCCTTCTCTTATTTCATTATATGCCTTTGTTCCTCCTCATACTTCCATACCTTTCACATTGCTTTCACTTGCTTATTGTTTATTTCACAATGCTAAGAGATCCCTAAGGTCTGTCTACACTAGAGAATGTTGATATTGCCACGACTATGTTGCACCACTGTTGAACAAGTTTGGATAATGCCTCAATCCACACCATGACCAGACCCAGGAACACAAGACAAACCAGTAAAGGAAGAGATTAATAGTCTTTCCATTTGGGTCCCTATAGTCCTGTTACCCACCTATCAGGAAGCTTGTCTTCAGTGCACTCAGTCTAAAAATACTCTCATCACTTGGCAGTCCTGCAAGCACTGATCTGGGCTTCTTTACGCTAATATGCATTGTCCAGTTTGCTGGACAGAATTCAATATAAATCATTCCAACGTTTACACATGGTTTTATTATAAAAGTTAAATTTAAAACAACAAATTCTATACATGCTAAACAGTAGACCAGTCTCCTTTACCAGTAAAAGAAACCAGTAGCAATAAAATTATATTAAACTCCCTAAAACTTTCTGATATTTAACACTTAATGTAAGTTTGAAACAATAAAAAGGGCTTTTGTTTTAGTATGGCTTCTGACAGGCCTGATCTTCACAGAGCTATCTAAGCAGTTTCTGTCAGATGTCTCCCTTCTGAAAGAGCAGGGTTGGAAGAACATGTGTGTAATTAGCAGTGTAACTGGCCGGGGGGGGAGGGTTACTGGGGGCACCAGCCCCAGGCACTGGTTAAGTGGGGATACCAGAATAGTGGTCCCTGGGGAACCTACACAGCAACAGCAGGAACAGCTGTCAGTGTATAGGCAACCCATGTGGCAGCTGTAGCTGACACTGATGTGTGGGGAACCCATGTAGTAGTGGTGGCAGCAGCATGCAGTGTAAGGACACTAACATCAGCCAGGGTCTTTTGAATTTCTAGTAAGACTCTTCCCTCACTCAACACCCCCCTCCTATTACCACCCCCAGCCCTTGGAACCCCTGCCTTTGCCCTCACCCTGCCCAGGGTACTAAAATTCCCAGTTACACCTCTGACTACAGTGAAAAAACACAGGTACCCTCCTCAGGAAAGGGCCATCCAAATAAATACATGCATTTCTCTTACCTTTCCACAGTCTCTAAGTGTCAGTTGTCTTCTGTCCTCTGTTGTAGACCAAACATTGGATTGTCGCTACAGTAAATGGGATGGGCAGCAGAATTGGCTTTGTCTGAGAAAGGTTCCTGCAAGGCCTCCCATCTCCACTAGTGCTGGCCCTCATCACACATATCTGAGATGGGAATACAAGAGGGAAGAAAAATATTACCTTGTGCTTAGCATTTGATTATTCAGCCAAGGCTTTGGCCTAAATCTGCACAGCACTGTCATCAACTCACAAAAAGAATAAAATATCAGTAACCTTATATGAAGCTGAGAATGAGTTATTGATCTCTTGGATTCACCCCTGATTATCATGATAATTCTGGTCTTCCCAGGCTAAAGGCAGTGGGGAGATGTAGAATAAAGCCTCCCAACCATCTTTCACCATCATGGTTCCCTCTTATGCTTGTTAGTATGTGTCCCACAGGCAAGTTGGTTCAAATATCAGACTAAACCACTGTAGCTAGTATAGGTGATAAAAGAACATGTGCTTGGGAGGATCTAAAGCATAGATAGGTATAGATACCTTGGGAGCCTGGCCATGAATGGTACAGGAACAGCTGGATGGATGCTGAACCAGTTGACTTAAACTATTTAAATGTGGACACGGGGTACCATTGCAGGAACAGACATTGCAAGCAAAACTTATCTAGACTGTTTAACCATAGTACAGTGCACTCTGCTAGTGCAGACAGACCTTTAGGCTTTGTTGTGTGATCAGCCCTAGAAATATAAATGTTTTTAACTCATTGACCTAATATTTAGTTATTAGAAGATACTCTAACAACAGCCACATATGAGCCCTCCTATTCCAGGTCAAATGGATTATCTCATTCCTGGAGTGAAAGGATCCCAGACACAAAACATATTTCAGACATCTGTGAAAATGGGAGACCTAGAAGTAACTCATGGCAAGGTAAGGGTGAACTTTTGCACTGGCTACAGTCAAAACCTGCCTTGACGTCACCACCTCTATGCTGACAATTTAAATGTTCTTTGGACAGGAACATGACTCCCTAAAACTGTATACATTTTGTTATTAGCCTTGGAATTGGGATTTAACATCACAACACACTAGTATATTTTGCATTATCGCTAAAAGCAGGAACTCGGGACCCTCCAACTCCAAGAGGTAAATTATTCTAGGTCTATGGCAATGGGCCAAACTGCAGTTCTAAATAAGATTTTAGATGTTACTTTTCAGCTGTCACTTTCAAATGAGCTTTTGAGTACCTGAAACAAACATGCCTCATACATTCAACTAAGAGTGACTCTGATACAGATGTAGTGACCTGAATTCTCTGCTGTACCCATGGTGGGGACAATGTGTTAACCATTACAACAGCTCCTCAAGTCTCTGACTGGGGAGCTAGCCACAATTCTGGTAGTTCTAGTGGAGTTAAGTGCAGGCTTGGGGATGCTCTAGCTATTAGTTATCCGCTAGAAATCATTTACCAGTTGACAATTATATACTCACTCAAGCCATATATCACACCCTTATCCTTGACCCTCCACTTGACCCTTGGGGATGGGGGTGGCCTATGACCCAGTGTGTGCTCTATGCCCACTTAGGAATACATAATACTTTCTGTTTCTGTGCCACTTGAACAGAATGGGCCAGATTTTGTATTTTTGTAATAAAACATGCCACTTGGCCTACTGTGGCCAATTCACCATGCAAGTCCCTGGAATACCTGGAAAAAAACCATCAAACCAATAAAATACTTCCTTATTTTCTTTTTCTGAGAAAAATTAAGAATTTGAACCCTCTAATTGAACTGTACATGGGAGCATCAGATGGCCCTACTGTAGCTTTTCAAAGATGAAGACCAAGAGATATGTATTTAGGCACTCAAGAAGAACTGAATTCCTTCTAGAATGATCCATATTGCTTGAAATGAACTGTAAATAAGACCAAATATACTAAAATAGGACATGCTACATTTTGAAATAAGGCTTTGAGAGAGAGATTTTCAAAGGTATTTAGGTGTCTGGAAATGCAAATGGGCTACTGATGTCTAAGCAGGTTATGTGTCTGCCTTCCATTGACTCCAATACCTAGGCACATTTGAAAATCCTACTAGGTCCCAGCTGTCTTTTCCAGTACATAAATATTTTTGCAATTCTGTCTGTAAGTATTTTAGTCTGAGGGCTATTACACTGCTGTTTGTCAATGTCCAAGTCTGTTGTATTAGTTCATTAGTAAGATCCAGGTTGGTCTTTTCTCTACTAATCAGGTAGGGGAGTAACAGAAATGGAAGCATTGCTTGTCTTCTTGCACTGGCTACCCATATCATGGGCAAGTAACTCCTTAAGGACTTCTATACTCAATTCCTGCACATAGGGAGAGGAACAGTTAGAGCTTTTGTCTCATCCCTCACTCTTTGGCCACTGCAGCTGTACTAGGGAACCAGATGCTCCTTCATTTTTAGAGCCAGTTCATGGTAGCTTCTCTCCCCATATTCACGTCCAGGTTCAGCATGATGTCCAATTCACTCCTGGGACAGTGTAAGTACACTCTGTCTTAAACACAAGACAAGATAACAGTCTTGTTTTAATGAGGGTACCACTCTCATTAAATAATTCTACCAATTAATTCTGTCTGCTCTTTCAGCTCTGAGCCAAAATTCTCACAACTTACATTGGGAAATGTATAAATTTATAGTAACAGTACTGGATCTATTGTTTGTCTTGATACAATTTTAGCAACTATGTGACAATGGGCATATTTACATTTGTGTATATGTTCTAAACAGGGGTGGGTTGTTAATGTTTAATGATGCTGAGGTCATAATTTAAATTCAATATCCTGTGATAAATATATGGAAATTATCTTTATCTTTCCATCCAGCATTCTACTCTTAATAATTTCTAAAAATAAATTCAACCAGACAATTGATACATTCTGAATGCCCAATTTAGATGCATGCTGAATTTCTTGGTCCTCTGAACTGACTATGTATCATAGCTAGAGCAAAATGGAATGAAACTGTTAAGTCTCAGGAGAATCCTTGCCCTGTATAGGGAAGTAGGCCCAGAGCTGACTCCCATACCAACTACTCTCAACCCTTTGGATACGTGTTCTTGGCCTCTCATGCTAGTGACTGCAGTCCTACTCAAAGCACGTCAAATGCCAGAAAAACATACTGTAGCCTCTGTCTGCTGTGTGCCTGGTGGCACGCTCAAGTTTGGTCATGCCTTATTAGAACTACTCTAATGGCAGCAACATTACTTTTTTCTGGCATTTGGTGTGCACAGAGTGAGAGTGACTGGGTGGAACATGTTTTCACAGAGGCAGCATGGTTGGATGTGGTCTAAACCTGTGGTCCACACACCCCTGGGGGGTTGCAGCTTGTCTAAGGGGTCTGCAAATGATAACTATGATCAATCAAAAGTATGTGAATACCAACCACATTTACAATTCAGAGGGGTCCACACGTCCATTTGAAAATTTTTAGGGGTCTGCAAATGAAAAAAAGGCTGAAAGCCACTAGCCTAGACATACTCCTAGTGTAAGTAGGGAGAGGGATGCTTAAAAAATGGTCTGGTTAAGGAACCCAGTTGTAGTAATATATATTAGAACTGCTTCTCCATACTTCGATGGATTTGATAACAGGCTTCCAATATCTGAAGGGTGGTTATAAAGAGGATGGTGATAGACTATTCTGTGTAGCCTCAGGGGACAGGGAAAAAAAATAATACTGTTGGTGATGCAGGATCAGGAGGCTAAAAGTTTTCCCTGGAGGTCTTCTTCCATTGTTGCTGAGTAGAATGTAATGCAGAATAAGGAATCTGGTTCTCAGTGGGCACGTCTACACCTGCATTAATGCACCATAGCTACTGCTCATTAAGTTTTGTACTGGTAATAACAGGTACTGACTAAATGTGCAGTACCTGGCGCTACTGTACAGTAGCACTGGTGCATGTCTTTTAAGCGATGCTAATGCACAGTAAACTAATTCTAAAATTAGCATGGCTTTTTGCCATCATGAGCTAATTCACGGTAGAATTAATCTACTGCACATTTACCATCTTGTGTAGATGCACCCAGTGAAGCCCCAGAAGTTTGTAAAAGCCTGATCATTTAAGGAGCCTCAGTCCCTCAAGGTGAAAGGCATCCTCAAGTCCCATTGAATTTAACACACAATTTAGCTGAAGTATGCAGACCCTCACAGAACTGGACATTAGAATCATAGGAAAATATGGCTTTAGGAGCTCATCTAGTCTAATATCCTGCTCAAGGAAGGATCTTCCCTGCATCAGCCATTCCTGACAAATGTTTGTGTAACCTAGGGTTGTCAAACTCATTTGGGCCCTGGGCCATGGACTCCCCCCAAGCTGGATCTGTGGGGAGCCAGTGGCAGCCATGGCAGGTCCAGCGGCAGCAGCGATGGGGGTCCAGCAGTGATGGTACAGGTCTGGGGCCACCAGTGTAAAATATATTTTATAAAAAGATTTAACTGTCATGTTAAACTGTCTGTGGAATGGTTCATTACCTTGAAATTACATCTCCTTGTTTTTATCTGTTCTTCTAATGCCTGCCAATGTGAGCTGACTTAAAAAATGTGGGGGAATCTACCATAGTTGCCAGCTCTTCTGGTTTTAATATGAATTTCAAAATATTCAGCATTTTTCTTACAGGCCTAGCTCCTGGAGGGTTATGATTGGGTGAGACTTTCAGCTTTGGTTTTTTTAAAAGTATTTTTCTAGCCCTTAGAGTTGCAGAGAAATAGATTGAAAATGTGACTCAACTGTTTATCGTAGACATTCAAATAAAGACAAATAGACCTTTTTTTTTTTAAGTTTTACGATTGTTGAACAGTTGAGACTGGCAATATGGCTATTTTGACAGGCTGGGGAATGAACATGCTCATTCTTGGAATGCTGTACACATAGCTTTCAATAATGAACATGAGCATTCTTGGAATGCTGTACACATAGCTTTCAAGATGTTATTTCCTCTCCCTTTATCCTTTGATCTCTTTCAGGTAATATAGGAGGAAACAGAAAGAAGGTCAGAGGCAAAAGATTTAGGCCACGGTCTAATTCAACTGAGTAAGTCTGACCCTCTAGCAGCAAAGCAGAAAACAGCATATAAACACATGCTGGTTTGATATACATTGGGAGTATGTTAAAGTAGATGCTATAGACGTTCTATGTGGCCCATTCAGAGTATTGACTGACAGTCTGGTAAACAGTTTAACCTCTATTTTTCATTTTTTAAAATTAACTATTAATTTTCTTTTTAATATAGGCTTCTTCACAAGTGTGCCCATAGCAATCCCCATTGATGGTGACACCTGGCACCATCACAGTGGGCTGTTGTCTACAGTAAATTACCACTGCTGAATATATCTTGATGCAGTAGTGGAATTTTGATACCTTGTTTTCCATTCTCTGTCTTTACCCTGAGTGCAACCAGTGCACTATATCCTGCTTCACCCAGGAACACAGATTTCTATCTCTGAGTACTCAGCTAGTGATTTTAGGAAACTAATCTAACTGATTTGAGAACATGCTTACAGTTTATTGTTCTGAGTTGTCAAGTTTGAAAATAAATGATCTTTTGTAACCTCTGGAGTCAGAACAACATAAGGGTGTACCAACAAGGAGCTTTATCTAACATGCCATGAAGTTGGCCAGAGCCCCTCTATTGATGTCAGTGGGCTTTGCATGCAGTCCAATATGGTTGCAATAAAGAAATTAAGACATATATGCCTTAATTTAAACATTATCAATGGAGTCCATCTGTAAAACTCTCATCTGTAAAAGCTCCACAGATACATTTACAAAATTATTTAAATTGGTTGTTCAATATATTGAAGAGCCCTGTCCTTGCTATTTACCTGAAATATCCTCTTTAAGCTTAGCCAGACCATGCTATATGAATGGATGATGAATGCTTGGAACTGTAACCCCACAACTTGTCAAGCATTTCCCACTGGATTTCTCTTAATGCTGTAGTACCACTGAAGAATTTCCACTTTTCTGTCAGTGATGGTACTGGTTACTCCTCCTCCCCACATTGCCAGCAGTAATGTTTGCACCTTTATTGGGTTTGGTAGCATCCCTTCTGGAAATGAATAGGGATAATTCCTCTCTGTACCCTGCCTTTTCCTGCTCAAGGATTATTCTAAAACCCAAGTCTTCCAAATTCATTATAGTGTTCTTAAATATGTGGGTTTACATAAGGTTCATGTAGGAGAACTCTGTTACAAATTATAGAAAATATAGCTTGATGTACATAAGTAGTTAAAATACTGCATGGTCAAGAATGGCAACATTAAACTAGTAGTAATAGTCCTAGATTCCTCAGAGTTTATCTTTTAAGTGACTAGCACTCCTGTGCTTCTCGTCTCAGTGCTGATAAACTCTAGTTGGAATGTTGTTATTTCGGTTCTTTTTGGTTGTCTTTACTTGCATGAGACAATTTGATAAGAGCAAAACTAGCTTCTTAATGAAAGTGCTTAGAGTACAGATGGGATAGAAAGCCCTTCTGTAGAAACTTGTTTTGGGCTCTCTCTTGTTTTCTAATTATACTTTTTTTTAAGCAGGCTTAGAAACCTCAGTGCCAAATTCAGACCTCACATACCTCTTATTCAATGGAGCTGTGTTTGGTTACACCATGGCTGAAATTGGTCTATAAAAATTAAACCAAATAAACCTTTTTTGTTTACTTTAGGATCAACCCAGCCATGTGGGAATGCTAGAGTAGGAAGAGAGGGTCAAAATTGATTTAACTCCTCTTCTGTTTATATAATATTCCTTACTGTAACCTAGAATTTCTTTCCTATCTAATTCTCTCCTTTCCTCCTTGCTGCTTATTCTGTCATAAACAAAGATGGTAACAGCAAAGAGGCTGATGCTGAAGAGAGAAGACTCAAATTGCTGCTGCAGACGGCAAAGCAGCAGTCTATGGAGGGGTGGATATCATCCCTATTTCTGAAAGACATCTGCCAGCCTGGGTGGGCTAGGGAGACATCCTTTCTCTTGGTGTCTCTGGGGATGGGGGGAAAGATGACTGTGAAGCCAACCTCTAAGAGTTTGCTCTACAGGGAGATCAGCCATCATGTGAATAGGTTTCACAGCAATGAAACTGGATCCTCTACATGCAGCACTTCTTCAGTCAGTGGGGAGAAGAGAGAATTATATGGGGGCACACAATTTGATTAGAAATATGAAAACAAACCTTGAAAAAAAAAAAGACCAGGTATGATTTGTTACTAATTGTGACCAACATTTCCAGACAGCCACTTTATTAACTTTGTTAACTTCCCTAGTAAGTGAAGAATCTAAATAGTCTATTCTGAAGCAAAATACAGCATTTGGAATACTTTCCTATGTGTCCAGTAGGAGTTGAACTGTGCATACAACTGAAAGAGAAGAAGGTGCTATGCTATAGTCTCCTGCTAGAGAACAAGAGACACTGTAAATTGACTGTTAGAATATTCATGAGCCTAATTTGAGCAATATTCTGGATGTGTGCATAATTCAAGTATTTACACATGCAGTTACACAGTTAATTAGTCTCTTCTAAATTTTTGAAGCATTGAAGAGGGTTTCAACCATGTGGCTCTCGTTAATATCCAGGAAAAGGGCACAGCAAGCATCTCAGGCAACTCCTGAAAAATGTCCTGGTCAGTATTTGTGTGTGCCATAGTATGTAACAGATTGCTCATGGTTGATGTAAGGCTGCTGCTAAATGTCACAGCTCCCTGGGGACTCTAATAGCTATTTTTGTAAGGCTTTGCTTCCAGATTAGTCAAAAAACACTTGGGAGTTTTCATTTCTTTAATATACTCAGCTGGTTCAACACCAGACAATGCCAGTTTGATTAAGTGGTCTGATAGTCATAGCTTTCTGTTAAAATCAGTACTTATGATCCAAGAAAGGTAATGCAGACCTTTTGAATATCTTGACAATTAAAATGGAGACATGTGTTAAAGCATGTCCTAGTAAGATGTGTTTTGCCAATTAGCAATATTGGTTTTCTTTGTTAATTGATGTTACTTTTCCTCTAAGCGTGCATCTTCCTTATTGTTGATGTCAACTTTTTGGCTTAGATTTTCTATTATATATTGTGTTTTTGCAGCAGGGTAACCCATGCATCTGAGCCTGGGCTTTCTCTCGCCCACCATATCCCGACTCAAGGCATAAGCCAAGGGGGTTCTCCTCTCCCCCATTCAGGGAGTCGGGATCACAGGTCAGTTTCACCTGCCCCTGCATTCTGGGCTGCCATTTTATCCCATGAAAAGTCCCTTCCCTGAGTATTCAGTAGTATCACTGTGGCAAAACACCTTTGACTGCTTGGAGGTGCTCCTGCTAATGCAGCGCTAGCTAAACCCTCCTCGTTGCCAGCCTGAGGAGTAAGATCACTCTTGAACCCAGGTCGTTCGCATTATTGCATGTTGCGCTACCAGCCAAATCAAGCCATTGGTCTAGTTTTCAGACTTAGACCTAAAGGATGATTTTGTTTAAAATGAGAATTTATTATTTAAAGCATATATGGATTCCAGTAATGATGGATAAACAAATGACCACAAATAGCAATCTGAGAGCTTTCTTATGATATCATTCAGTGGTCTGCTGAGATGAGATGTAAATCTTTCAATAGTAAATACATTGGAAGGAATGGGAGTTACCTGTATGTGATCAGGCCCGGGAAGCTCACAAACTCTAGTTTATAACAACTGCATGCTTTGTTGCCACATTACATTTTGTTTTCTGATTAAAGAAGCCAGATTGGGAGTGTTTCATGGTTACCAAAAGACTCCTTCAAATAAAAAAGTGCAGGTTAAAAGTTCTGCAGCTATGTCTGATTCCCCAGGAAATCTGTAGCCACATCAGCAATTAAAACTGCATCATAAGCATAAGCATTAGTTTCTAATGACATTGGCACCAGCCTGCTGCTTTACTAGTTCTTTCTCTGTGGCTGCACCACTGCTTTTAACTTTTACTTTTTCCTAAGGAAAGCATAAAGCACTCCTGGTTTCACTCATTTTTAAATAAGAAAGCTGATTGGAAGCAATTGTGGCTGCAGCTGAATACTTTGTGAAAGCTGTTGCTGTGCTTACGCGGGGCGGGGAGAAGAAGTTCCAGAGCAAAAAAGGAGGTCTATGGAGTCCAAAACTACTCCAGGCTTTAGTCTTCGACTTGGTTTGAAATATTGTAGTGTCATGGTTGTATTAAAAAAAATGAAGAAAACTTTACCCAACTTTATTCACCTGAGCAATCCCTTGCAGGACTTGTTCAGACATGTGGGATCAGTCCTAGAACTGTGCACATGAGTATGTGTTGGGAGATCCAGCCATTAGGATATTAAGTAACTAAGAATTTGCATTTTTTTAATTGTCACATTTCATTACTGTTTCAGATTGTGCTGGTCCCTATTATGTAAAGGAGGTGATTAAAATAACTGATTCAGCCTGGTGGTGGTCGTGCCAGAAATGCAGAGCTTAAATTGTGCCAAACAGATAACTCAGTTTATACATCACCCTTTATTATTAATGTTATAAAGGGAGTGGAGGAAAACCCCCCCAAATAAGTAAGCTTCCTATTTGGGCATTAGGGAAATCAGTTATAAAATGTCCTGAATATATAGAATACAGAATATACATATGTACTAATTCATAGAATAACTTCATGTCTTGTAATATTACTGCTAACTGTGGAATAAAATAACATTATTTCATGGTTCATTTGAAACCTGTAAGGTTAAAAATAGCTTTTTCTTTCTTTTGCTAATCAAGGTTTTCTGTTGTAAAATGTGAGACCGGTTCTGCAGCCCTCCTTGCAAGCTCCCCAGATCAAACAGCACTGTTAGAGACAAGAGGTTTTTTTCACATATCAGTGTAAAAACAAGCCATCTGCAGTGGCACAAAGTGAGATCTTTAAATTGCTGAGACTGAAATTCATCTGTATAGAGGGGGGCCAATGAAAATCCCTACCTCTGCAAAGACTAAATTGCTAGGCTGTTGGCATTCTTCCATATTTTGAAGATGTAAGAGGTGCAAAGGCCTTGTGTTCACTGCTATCTGTCTGTGTAGGAGTGAACT